CTCTTCTTATGCATGAGCGTTTTATTCCTCTACATTTCACGAAGAAAAGCTCAGCTGCTAGATAGATGCATTGGTGTGGAAAAGGTTACAAGCAAAGAGCTGAATTACAAACGCATGCTGTCGAAATNCAGGTTTATGTGACTAACCGTCAGTTCCAGAGCACAGAAGAGCTGAAACGGGCGATTATCGAAGCATGGAGAGCAATCGATGAGGAACATCTTCGAAACTTAGTTTCTAGTATGCCACGCAGACTCTTTGATGTTGCTCTTAAACAAGGAGGGGCTATAGATTATCAAGTGTTGTACATATGCCATCAACGTTAATAAATCATTTACTTTCCCGGGGTGACCTTATAATTATGAAACGGTGCAAAAGCCGACACTATCTTCAAAAAATTCATAGAAAATTCGAGGTGAAGGATATTGCGACCAAAATTTGAATACGGAGGTACATTGTGATGAGGAATCTCCCTGTGTTTGCCAAAAAATTCCATTCCGGCTGCTTTCTCCAGAATCGCAAAAATCGAGGGTGACCTTATAATTATGAAACGCTCTGTATTCTGTTAATGTGATTCTGTTATCAGTTTCTTTTTCACACGCTCAAGGAGTCTTCTCTTCTTTAGTGCGCTTGCAAGCCTTCGGAGAGAGCATTTTTTATTCTTCTCTTTTTTTTTCTTTTTTTTTTCGCTTAGAACAGATCATTTTGTTCCTGTCAATGGGTTCCTGGACTCTTCTTACACGCTTGCATTTATTGCTTTTATGCTGGTGGGACAGTGATGGAAGGATCCCTGTGACGGTTAATATTCGTAGAAAGAGTCTCTAGTCAGGCCGATTAAATGGCTACATGTAAGTGCAACAAGTAATTTTATTTTTTGAAACAAGAACCAACTTTCCCTGAGTAGCAGCCGATCTTGTGCCCTTGCAGTTTGCCTGTTGCTTTATACATTTTCAAGGATTATTCCTATGCAGGCGCTCTTCTATTTGGGAAGAGTTCGGCAGCTGACAGAATTCAGAAATTGTTTTTCATCGTGTGCCAAAAGCCCATAAAGCTTTAGGATTCGTGACTATGGTATATGACCATAGTAGTTACCCATGAATTGGTTATTAGAATTGCTTACGGCATACCAGATTTTACTGGTTTCAAGGATCTGGGTGTGTGAATGCTTGTAATTGCGAGAAGCATTTTTGAGCCGGCTACACTATTCATTTTGTATTGTAGGAACACTTGCGCTCATCTTGATTACTGGAATGAGAAATGTAACCATATAGGTAGGGGGAAAACCGAGCTATGAGTGTTAACGTAGGTGCCGCATGCTGTGAAGCCTAAATAGTTCAAATCAAGCCTGACGTTAACACCTTAATTCGCTTTCTCTTCAGACCCTATCTCTATAAAGTCTTAATCTCCTTGCCGCGATTTTTGCATTTTACTGCTATCAATCTGGAGTTTTCCCTTTCTTAATTAACTAACACAAATGGGAACACTGGCGCAAATGTTCTCAGTGCCAGCTTCCTTGATTATCATGGAATAGAACGTTATTCAAGAATAAAATTAACATTTTGGATCTTGAATAACCCACCATACCTCTCCCTTGTTGCCGTGCCTGTTTAAGCAATAGACTGGTGCAAGAAGAACCTATGGATCTGTATCAGTTTGCTGTGTATGAAGATACGTTTTGCTTGCTCGTGGCGTTGGAGGAGGTGCCGGGCTTTCGAATAATAGAAGCTCTTCTTATGCATGAGCGTTTTATTCCTCTACATTTCTCGAAGAAAAGCCCAGCTGCTAGATAGATGCATTGGTGTGGAAAGCAAAGAGCTGAATTACAAACGCATGCTGTCGAAATTCGAGCGTTAAAGCATGGATACGGGAATTGCACTTACTCGCTTCCAAATTGACCTTGTAAGGGAACTTAGCCAGCTGGCTGGCTAAGCCTATTAGCTTGACCTTGCTTACTGTATCTTATCCATTCTCTTATCTTATTGTTAATACTTTTATTTAAAAACCCTTGAGCCATTGTTTGTGCGTNGGTAGGGGGGGGGGGGAAGAAGTAAGAAGTTAAGATATCGGGAAATCGGTATCGAGTGGCTGGCAGACCCCTGAAAGAGAAAACGCAAAACGCAGTCATCCAAAATATGTCAAATGAAATTCTCATCGTTACAGTGAATTCTAGCGAATGTGCGAAAAAAGCAACGATGCGTGTTTTTATGATGGGCTTTTTTCGCAACCGCGAAATGAAATTTTCATATTTGCTGTGAATTCCAGCAAATGTGCGGGAATAAAAAGCTAAATATGAGTCTTTGGCTAGGCTCATTTTTTTGGAAACGTATTACATCCCGTATATAATTGGTTGCTCTCGTCTTGCACACGTCAATCCGAAAGCGGTCGTTCTTGTGGACGGCCGATTTTCTGGTTTTCAGGGCTCATTATGCTCCTTCCAATCTTCTCCTGACGTAATAACTCCTCATTTCGACTGCCTGT